AGAGCCCGATATGGGGCTTGATCTCAAGAAATCAAGAGTTGGATGCTTAACCAACTGAGCCACCCAGGCGTCCCATGACCAACCCATATCTTTGTCTCGGGGCTCAACTAGTCCAGCCACTTCTGCAGGCTCCGGCTGAAGTCACTGCCTGTAACTTGGAGAGGGAGCAGCTCTTTGGCACGGCCCAGGGAGCAGCAAGGGAGCTGGGGACCCAGCTCAGAAGCCACCCCTCACTCTCCTGCCCCAGCACCCACCCGAGCTGTTTTAAAAAGCCCCATGACTTTGGTTTCTTCAGGATTGTACTGTGACACGGTTATCAAGACAACTAACAAACATAAAACAAAAATGCAACCAAACTCAACACTCTGTTTTCGAAGCTCTTAGGAGAATTTATCTCATCGGGCCATTTTGAGGGAGAAGGCAGAATGTTCTTTTTGAGAGGTTTGTTGTTTTTTCTCCCCCCCCCCACCCCACCTCACAGACTTAAGCCAGCCAGACCCCGGGTGGGAAACGCAGCTCAGTGTCTGGGAAGACCCCTGGCTCCGGGGGGGTGGGGGGGGTCCCCAGCAATGAAGAGAGTCTGTGGGGAGATCAGAAAGGTAGGCGTGCTGCAGGGCTCCCTCCCTGCAGCATGGAAGACCGTTGACAATGTCGTGGCACTCTCCTCTCACGGTTTCTCTCTTCCTTTTTTCTCTGACAAGGTCTAATGTAAGTCTTTTAACCTTGGGGCTGTGTAGGTCATCTGGAGACGAGCCCCCGGCAAGCTCCCCCTCCCGAAGCAGGACGACGTGCCGCTAGTTTACCTGGGCAGCTTCCGTGGTGCCCAGAAGCCGGCCGGGCCCTCTGCCTCCACAGATGGCCTCGCTCGCTGCCCCCCGGCCTATGCCGTGGTGGGCCTGCACAGCCTAGAGGCCCGGGGGCAGCGGACCACTGCCTTCCACCCAGTGAGTTTCTCCAGTGAGAAGGTTGGGCGAGAAGATAAACCCGTGTTTCCCTACCAAGAGCTGACCTCCGCTCAGGAGAGCTTCCGCCAGAAGGTAGCTGCCTTTGCTGGCATGACGTCTGGCTGTCACAAGGGCCCCGGGCCCTGCCCCTCTCCACAGCCCCTGCGGGAGTCCCTGCCCTCGGAGGACGACAGCGATCAGAGGTGCTCACCTTCGGGGGACAGCGAAGGAGGAGAGTATTGCTCCATCCTGGACTGTTGCCCCGGGAGCCCCGTTGCCACGGCCACCTCAGAAGCTGAGAGTTCTCGGGGCAGACCTGGCAGAGGGGACCGCTCACCACCGTGCTGGGAGCAGGGGGGGTGTGGGGGCCCCCCTGAGGAGGAGAAGCAGGTTCTGAGCTTCCCGAGGGAGTGCTGTAGCCAGGGCCCAGCCGAGAACCCGCCCCGCCTGGGTCCCAAGAAGCTGTCCCTTACCTCAGAGGCCGCCAGTTCTTCGGATGGCCTCTCCTGTGGGAGTGCCAGCAGTGGGGCCAGCAGCCCCTTCACCCCCCGTCTTGAGAGTGATTACTGCTCCCTCGTGAAGGAGACTGTGCCAGGGAAGGAGCAGGACTCAGGCTGCCACGTGCTGACCTCTGCCAGGGGCCTTGGACTGACGGGGGAGCCCCAGCCTCCAGCCCACCCCAGGGAGGCGGTACAGCCTGAACCCATCTATGCTGAGAGCACCAAGAGGAGGAAGGCGGTTCCAGCACCTTCCAAGCCACAGGCCGCAGCGCAACAGGCAGCAGCCGCTCGGGGCCAGGGCCAGGTACGGACAGCTAATGCCTGGGCTCAGAAAGCAGCATCTGGCTGGGGCCGGGACAGGGAAGGCCCAGATATGGCTCCCCAGGTGGCAGCCACCATCACGGTCATGGCAGCCCATCCAGAAGAGGACCACCGGACAATCTACCTGAGCAGCCCCGACTCCGCCGTGGGGGTCCAGTGGCCACGCGGGCCTGTGAGCCAGGACTCCGAGGCAGGTGAAGAGGAGGCTGCAGCTGGGCAGGGGCTGAGCTCCAGAGAAAGCCACCGTCCCGACGCGAGTGAGAACACGCCCAAGGGGAAGCCTGCCATTCCCCCCAAGCTGTCCAAGAGTAGCCCCGGAGGGTCCCCGGTGTCCCCCTCTGCCTCCCCGCTGTCTGACCTCAGCGAGGGGAGCTCCGCTGGTGGTACGGGGCCCCAGACTTCCTCCAGGGGCCCCACTGACTCTGCTTCTTCCTGCCGGGCCAGTGGCGTCGCCGCTGGTGACTCTGTCCGGTGCCACCCCCCAGCTGCCACCGCCTCAGCCTTGGACCAGAGGAGGCCCCGGTACCAGACGGGGGCCTGGAGCCGTCAGTGCCGGATAGAGGAAGAGGAGGAGGTGGAACAGGAGTTGTTGAGTCAAAGCTGGGGAAGAGAGATGGAAAACGGCACCGCAGACCCCTCCAACTCCTCCGCGTGGCACTGTCTCCGCCCCACAGACGGCTGCTCCGGGCAAAGCAGCAAAGTGGGCACCGGGATGAGCAAATCGGCCTCTTTTGCCTTTGAGTTCCCCAAGGACAGGAGTGGGATTGAGGTATTCTCACCTCCGCCGCCGCCTCCGAAGTCGCGGTGAGTATGATGGTCTGTGTGTAACTCGGGGCCCTTCCAGAAACCTCTGCTGTTGCCCTTTACCGAAAGCCCTCAGGCCCAAGCCCTGAGTCCTGCGCGCTGGGCACCAGCGTCTGCCCAAAGGCCCTTGTGCCTTTATGTAAGTTCTGGGTTGTTCGTGTTCATGCTCAGCAAACAAGCCCCCAGGCGGTGCCCTGCCCGGGATTGGCTTTTTGAAATGACTCTTTCCAAGAAGCACTGCCAAGCTGTTCCTCTCTCCTGGCGCTCAGAGTTGTCGAAGCTGGTACTCTTTTCCTCCCCGTCTCTCTGAAGTCTCCCTAGCAGGCTTTTTCGGGGAAACGCTGAGATTCACCATTTATTTAGACACGCAAAAGAAGGCCAGGGAAGGTTGTCCTGTGGCATTTGGAGAGGCAAGGAGACGGGGAGGCCCACGGGCACTGCCAAATGTGTGCTCCAGAAACAGTTAGGCCTTGGAGCCAAGAGCAGGGTAGTAGGAGGCTCTGCACGTGGTTAGTAACCTTCAGATGTGGATTTTTACCGGGGCGGCGGAGAAGGAGTTCGTTTTAGCATATGCTGAAATCAACAGCTTTCTCCACTGCTTCACTGCTGTCTCCTGCCAGTTTAAAGTACCTTCCAAAGGCCCAAGAAAAATAAGTGCGTTTTTAAAGGTATTGCGTTGTGCATGGAATTTAAAAGGGGGGGGGGGGGAATTTCCCTCTCATTCCAGCAAGATGGATTCCTATCAGGGAAAGGAGAAACCTGCTGTGTGTTTTGTTTTTGTTTTTGTTTTTTAAGTGACAGCCTTTCCAACAGACTTTTTCTAGTTGTGTCGTTTCCAGTGATTCTGTTTCAGCTCCCGTGCCTCCGGGCTGTTGCCGGAAGCAGGCAGCTGACCACAGAGACATGCAGCTGTGACACTTGACTTTGAACATCAAGGCGTCTCAGGCTGTGATGCTCTCTAACGTGGGCTTTTTCTGTGACCACTGCTTTGTTCTGGTATTGCACTGGCCACCTGCCATGCGGCGTAGACATCCTCCAGATCCTCAGGTGATTTGCAGACTCCTTTTGGCTACAGTTTTAACTTCCCGAGTGAATGAGGGATCCAGCAGCTAAGAAGAGCTCCCATTTATATGGCGCTCACTGTGGGCCCGTTGTGGATCTAAGGGAATTAGACCTGTTAACTCCTTTGATCCTCAGAACAGCCCCAGGAGGTAGGAATTACCATCCCCAATTTACAGAAGACAAAACAGAGATAGGAGGAGCTGAAGTCACCTGCCAAGGTCACACCGTTGTATCTGGCCGGCTCTGCTCCTAAACACATAGGGCACTTCAGCAGGTGGTGTAGGAAGTGAACAAGGCATGAGAGTAAAACATGGGCATTGGCTCTGTCTGCCTCAGGCCTGGGTAGGTTAGTGGAAGTATGGGCTTTGAACTTGACCAGAAAATCAAGTTCATACTGCATCTGTCTTATCTATGGGCTGAGTGATCTTGAGCAAAGCCACTTACCGTGACCGAGCCTCCCTAAAACCGCATGGGAATAACAATGCTTTTATAACACCCTGTTGTTGAAAGACTCAAGTGAGAGGAACAGACTCCAGTAGAGGGGTTCATTATTATGCAGGCAAGGGCCCCCTGGAGCTATTGTTTGTACGGGGACACTCGCACCCTATGGGAACCTCCTGGCCCACTCCTAGGCCTACCACCTGAACACCACCTAGTTCCTCGGGGAAGAAACTAAACCTTTCTCATGGCAGAATTAAGGGCCTGGAGGAACCCCAGTCACCACAGCAACCTGACTCAGGTAGGGTTTGCATTAGCGTCTGGGTTGAGATCAGAGTTTTTTGGCCCAGTTTGTTATGATAAAACCATTGGATTATATATGTAGCTCAAACCAGGTGGGAATCTCAGAGGTTCTGGGTTCCAACTCTTAAAAACAAACAAACAAACAAACAAAAACCAAGCAAACCAAAAAAGTTCTTATTTTCAGGACTTTTGGGGAAAAAAATCTGGGAAATAAAATTAGCTTAAGGGAACCCAGAAAAGAGCAAAGAGCACCTGGCACTATTTAAAATAAAACAAACTCATATATATTTTCATTTGGGGAAGATGTTTTAAGCATTATTGACATCTCTTGAATCATCACATCTGCCTCGTGAGGAGATGAGGGCGGGCTTGGGACCATAAGTTGACTTTTAATTCTGGAACTCAGTACTTACTGAATCCCTCTGAGGAAGGTGCCAGAAACCCACAGCCTTCGAATCTAGCAGGTCAGGGTGATGGCAAATTGGACTGTTCATGGGAACACAGCCCACAGTGGTCACTATGGCAGGCTGATGTCAATTTTCCAAGATGGAAAATGTTAGAAGGTCTTTGAATGACATTGAAGATTAACTCAGTTTCTTTGCACGGCCCATCTGTGTGTCCTATTTCGAAGAATCGGCCTCACCCGCAAACAAAAATAGCGACTCTCATGACGCGTGTTAAGTACACTCAACGCTCTGGAGAAAGGGGTTGTTTCATGCAGGACAGTGTTACTTTTCACTTACATGCACTTAGATCCTTCTGCTTTCTTGGGCTATTATGGAAGAACAAAGAATCATTTTCTGGTTTGCCTAATGGTCCTGCTTTACGAAACTGACTGTGGCTCGGAGTTTTAAAAAAAAAAAATGATGTTGAGAATGACGTGACTTTCCTATGGTGTTGTTTTGGATGTTTGGCAGTAGCTTCTCTGTCTGAGATACTGTCCTCTGTAAGCTCCCATTAGGGGTCTGCAGAAGATTCTTGCTGTAATGCCATGAAGGACAGGGGCTCTCAATGCCCATGTCATACCCTTCAGAGGTATTTAAGTGCACTCAGTGTACCTCCTAGCAGATGAGGCACGGTCTGGGGCCACCACGGATCCACCTACACGTTCGGGCTCACCAGCTTAGACTGACGGACCTCACCGAGTCTCTGGGTCAATTTAGTGCCCCAACTCAGGGCAGAGTTCGGAGGTGAGGGTTGACAAGTCCTGCTGGCTAGGAGGCTAAAACCTACGGGGAAACAAGCGTGGACTTCTTAGTTTCAATGTCACATTCAAGACTTAAAGGCAGTTTCTTGAGAGCAGCAGCGCCTGGGGAGATAAAATTAAGATGCAGAAGAATCAAATTTATTTCTGCCTTTTATTTCTTCGCAGATGCAAACCTGGTTTTAAAAGACTTTGGCTTTTGAGTGACAAGGTCAGTTGAGGGAGACTCCTCTGATTAGCGCGGACAGGAATTTCACAGAAAAACCCCAAATTAGGATGAGAGGCCTGAACTCAGAGGAGGAGCGAGAGCATGGCAGGTGAACAAGAACTAAGACCGGTTTATATGGTTTCAGAGGCCAAAGGTCTGGCCCCAGGTGAGGCTAACCAAGAGAAGAGTTTCCCCAAGAAAGTGAGAGAGGTTTACTTTTGAAGTCGTCACTCATGCTCATCGTAATTTTAACCCACTACTTAGTTACATTCTCCCGATCCTCTGCGGGGATTCTGGGGAGCAGAGACCGAGTCTATCTTTGGGCTCTAGCTCGTTCTTGATTCCCCGCTCACCCTCCCCCGTCACTTCTCGGCAGACAGGTGCTGACAGGGTCACAGATGGAGCTGTTCTGTCCACAGAAGTGGCCACTGGGCCATTGGAATCAAGATCAAAATGACTTCATTGTGTGGTCTCTTGGTAACATGGTCTCTCAGCATGAGCCCCAAGGATGGGAGTAGAATGATAGAGATTGCTATTTATCTCCAGACTCCATATCCGATCTGAGTTAAGCTCCGGATGCTTTATTCTTGAGGCATTTTCTGCTACAGTGGATTCTGGTAGAATGGTAACAATTTACTAGGCAATCCTATAGTCTTGATGTGTAATGGGGCTTTTCTGTGTGGCATTTTGAAAATCACAGTTTGTATTAGAAAGCACTCTATGTGCTTTGAGAATCTTCTCTATGTTTAGCCTCTTTGACAAAGCTGAAATAAGTTGGCTGGTGGTCGGATCGATCCAGGGAAGACTGAATCCTGGGGATACTTCAGGGAGAGAGATTGCTCCCGCATGTACACACAGAGTTTGGCAAACAGAACAAAGCACGTCAGCAATGCCCGTTTATATTCTGCTCCCTGCCAGGGGCAAATTAATAGTTGGCCTCTTCCCCTGAGTTTGTGGATAGAACCTGAAAACACTGGACATCGAATGATGCTGTCTGGACCAGGGAGAATCAAAATTGATTTCTATATTTCCAGTCTGTAATTAAAAAAAGAAAAATCACTGAGTTGAACAGTAGTCTATATCAAATATGTTGGAACTTCTCTCCGTTTTGGAGCATACATCCACGGCTAAGGGTAGGGATTCGATTTTCTTTCTGTAATTCATCAGGTGTCTCCTAAGTGCCTACTTTCCATTATGCTCTGTGTAAGGTGCTAAAACGTCAGTGACTGGGTTCTGCCCCTTAAGGCCCCTGAGGGTTGAGTGGGTATAAATTAAATCAGCAGATGTGTCGTATGACCACCATGGGCTCTCGCCCTGTTTTGATTCCCTTTGATTAGATTGGTTATCATAGCAACTGGATTCTCATTCTGTTGGGTAACACAGAGGTAAGTTCAGCTCAGTGTCCAGGAGGAATGCAAGAATAGTCCTTCCTTGAAGTGTCTTGTGACCTGATTCAAGGCCAAGGTTAGTATAGGTATATAGATAACCATTTATTTTTAGAAAGGCAGGATGGGGTGGGGAGGCAGATGCTCCCTGAAGGTCAAGAGCAGGCTTAGCCATCTGTAATAACACAGTATCCTGTTTGGTGCCTGGTACATAATAGATGCTCAAGAAATACTTGTTGAATTGTAGGCAGAGACCATGCTCGTCTTATCTCACTTTCTCCAAAAGCACTATGCTTCGCATATCAGGAAGTGTTGAGAAAGGAACAAGTAGCTTTAAATTCTTGTATCCAAGTATCTTTCTGAAACCCAGGTTTCTGGATTGCCCCAGTGCTCTGTTTTG